GGCCGGATCCAGCTCATCGACCTTGGGCTGTACCTCCAGGCGCTGCGCCTTTTGGCTGCCTCCTGCGGAGAAAACCCGCTTGATCTCAGCCTTGCGCTGGCGTTTGTGAGCTCGCTTACGCTCATACTTTTCAGGATTCAATTGGCGATCCCGCTCACGTCGCAGCGCTTTCAACTCTCTCCGCTGTTTGGCCTTTCTGGCCTTTTGCTCGTCTAATTTCTTTGCACGAGCAAAACGATCTCGGTTACGAATCCGTCGTCTCTCCTTCTCCATCCTATGCACTTGTGCACGGGTTGACATATCACCCGGCAAAGGAGAAGCACATGATAAGAACGACAATTCCGAGATCTCCTCCCACCGCTCGTGGGGATCATTAGGGTCTGGTCTCTCTGGACTCCCCTCGCTCAAGTCCCATGGTTCCGGGATATGCCTGAGCGCAAAGGCCATCTTTTCTGGCCAATTTGGGTCCTCTTTGGCAATTTGATCTGCCATTCCAGGACCATACCACCTTTGTATTCTAACCAGTCTGGCGGTGGTTAACCTTTCTCCAAACTGGTCGGCGGCCATCCGCCATCCCTCGTCAAGCTCATCGACGAGATCGCTGTGGAACTTTGTCCACATTGCACGGCACGGTGGTTGCCGGCTATATGGATCTCGAGTGTCTGGAACGAACTCCAGCACCCTTGAGCTTTCACCAGGCCCCCACTCGGGTAACGCAGGCCTCCGAGGGCTCCAATTATGGCCTCCCGGCCTTGGCGGACTTTTTCCGCAAACAACTTGAGCGCTTTCTGTGAGCGACTCATCTCCCGTCCCGTCCGATCCACTAGGTGTTCTCACATACACCTGGGATTTGAGCCGTAGCTCCGGGATCTTGACCTTCCGGCCTTGCATTCTCTCAACTCGCCCTAAGGCTTTGGCCTCCCGGCCTTGATATGGAGATTTCTCACTTTCCATCGGCCGCTCACCTGGCGATGGACTCTTCCGCTTGGAGCGCTGCTTGCCAGCAACCTTCCAGTCTTCCTCTGGAATGGTTGGCATGGGCAACTCCGACGGACTGGGGGCCCTCACAGCTGGCACCACCTGTTGGGCGCTTCTCTCTTCTGCCTCCTGGGCCCGCTGCTTTTGCTTCAGGAGGCGGTCACTCAACGCCTTGACTTGGTCTTCGGCGGAGGTTTTGGCTTCTTGTGCCTCGCGGCTCTGTTGCTTCGCCTTCTTCATGGCCAGCTCTTTCTCTCGAGCTTCTTTCTTGGCCTTGTTGACGGCGATCTCCAGCGAGGCGATCCTCTCGGCGGTCTCTTCATCCCGCTTCGCTCTCGCCTTCTCGGCCGCGGTATCCGCCATCTTTTGCAGCAGCTCTTTGATACCAGGGATCTTCAGCAACGTCGCCGCCGCCTCAGCGTCCTGGTCTTGCTCCTGTGTCTTCTCCGCCGCCGGCGGGGTATCCACTTCTTCCATCGGCTCATCTTCTGCTGCGGGTGCCGATGTGGCTGTGGAGGGTCTAGCCATGTCCTCCCGGACTGTTACACCTCCTGGCCCATCCCGGGCTTGTTCAGTTCCTTGCCCATCCCGGGCTGTATCGATCGCCTGCCCATCCCGGGCTTGTTCTTCCCCCTGCCCATCCCGGGCTTGTTCCTCCGATTCCTCAGCCTCCATGGAGGAGGCCGGGGAAGGGCTCCGGCGTCTCGTGCTCTCGCGCGCTCCCAGGTGGAAGCGTGGCCGCCACCCTCAGGCGGCTCCGAAACCAAATGTTACGAATAGGATGTGGGTGTGGGGTTTCTGCCCTCTTTGAGCCGCGGACCCGCCTCGCCGGGCACCTAGGTCCTTACAGGGCACCTAGGCGGGACCACCCCTCCTACTCTCGTATCCTAATATGGATAAAGGTTACAGTGGGTGAGGAATAGTACGTGCCTTGGGCAGGGCGTCCCCCACACCAAGGGCCATTAGTAGGACGTCTCCCACATCAGGCTGGTGCGCGTAACACATTGAGCCTAGTTCTCAGTTTCATGACTCCACTGTCGCGGGATGAGCTGCGTGCACTTGGCCCACATTAGGAACTGTTTGTCCTGTCAGAATGCAGTGTGCATGCGCCATACCCCAACGCACATGTACATTCTAATCCACACAATGCATATACCAACTAAAGCAGGGTCCGAAGTGTTCTTGGCGCTGCGGGATATTACGTGTGCCCTGGGTAGTATTCAGGTGAGGTGACTTCCTATGGAACTTTCACCACACAATTTCTTACATACACACCTTGAGACGGAACCTGTACTTGCAAGATTATGGATAGAATTGTTTGTGGATATTGGTAGAATTTGGGAAGGTATAGATCTGCAACACAGGAGAGCATGAGTATCTCTGGACGGCTCTCGAGGCCCTAGAATCTCTGAGCCTCTTTCTCACTGGCTGGCGACATGAGGTCGGACTCCTCCTAGGAACAGGCATTACAGCGGTGATTTCTTTTGCAGTGGAAAAGATGCGCTGACGTTTATGCATGATCAAGTCGGTTGCACGCCGATCTCCAGGAACACAATGGCCAACAGGGATGCCTGAAACTGAAGATCTCGGGAGACTTACCGTGAATGGGACTGTTCATACCTGGTAACCATGAACAATAATGAGCAACGAGCAACGATGCTACGGCAACAAGAGTATTAGAGGCCTTTGGGGGAAATGCATTGTCAGTTCCACACTCGAAGTAAATATTGGCTTTAATTGTAGCTCAACTAACCCACTGCTATCGTTCAATTCATCATGCTGCTGTGCTTTTGCCTGAACATGGTTAGTCGACATCGTGCCGCCGTGTCTGCTGGCAACATGTTTGCTCAAACAAAACACAGTAGTACCTTGAACAGCGGTTGCAACACTGAGAGGCTGAGCAGCCAACATACATTCAAAATATTCTGAACGGCGTCGATTCAACCACGCGTCGTCCTTCTTCAACTTCTCATCCGTTCCTGCAGGTTTGGTTTTTGCATTTACGTTTACGTCTTTTCGTTTATGGTTTTATGCGTAAAACGTAAACACAGAGAAGGAGCTATTTTACTTGCGTATTACGTATTTTTATGGCTCGTTGGGACACCTGGGTCGAATGATGAAGTCGCGTTCAATAATCAGTCCTCCTCCCCACTCGAGCGCAAGAGACGCAGTGTCCACCCCGCCTTCGGTAGGGCACGACCCAGTCGAGCAAAGTTCGTTTTTGCCCACTCTAGTGCGTCTGGCTTCCAGTTCCTGGGGTCCTAAGTCTGTATGCACTGTCTTTGTGTACATGGGGCTATTTTTGCATCTTGTATTTACGTATTTTACGCTTGTGTATGCGTAAAAACGTGAAAACTACTTTTACGCGTAGAAACGTAAATGTAATCAGTTTTGTTGGCGTAATTGCCAAGCCCGCATTCCTGTGCTGTTGCAAACAAAGTTTTTCTAATACGATGTGGCGGCAGTCTGCAACAGATATCCAAGGACGTCCCACCAGGTGGAGGACTGCGGGACACTCCACCTCATTCTGTGGCGCTGCAGGACGGGTGCAGAATCGCCTGAACCTTACAGATTGTATGACAAAGCAGCAGATGGGATGGACAGTTGGGCTTCCAAAGCTCAGAACGTCGTGCGCTTCAGCGGAGATAACACACAAAGCTAGGCCGTGGATTCTTTTGCATTACTTTTGCAACAGCAGCCTTGCCAGCCTTTTCGCTTCGACGTCGAGGGCAAAATATTAGCATAAATGTCTGTCTATTGTTCTGAGAACAGACAAGTGCTGTTAAAGAACACGCCGTGTACATTTACAATATGCTAAGTGCACATGGTGGATGCCCTATGCATGGCTGCAGCTGGCAAAACGTAGGTCAGCTAGGTTTGAGTGCAATGCACTGGGTACATCCTGAACTGCACTGCAGTGTAAAACATCCAGCTTGACATCGTGGTCTGGAAACATGTGGATATTGCAGGGTCTTCACTGCAATAAGTCCCGGTACGCTGTTGTGGTCTATTGGCATCGTCGCATTAGGTTGTGCCGTTGATGTGATACGGTCATGCATATAGATGGCCTGACCATAGAGGGACATCGCTGCATTGGGATCTAGTCTGCAACTCCGTTGCCTCCAGCTCGTCCTCCACCAGAACCGCTTCCCTAGTGGCGAACCAGCCGGCGGCCTATCACGTGAAATGTGCAACCCGCATGTAAGAAGTGCTCAAGTTGTGGCCTGCGCGGGACACGACCCCCCGGCTGCGCGCTCAACTTGCGCCCGCCCCGCGGCCTCCTTGGCGCATCTCGCCCACCATGAACCTATCGATTCTACGCACTAGCCTGTCCCGGGCGTGTCGCTCCTCGGGTTTGGTCGCTAAGATCTCCGAAGCGCGGCATGGCGCTAGGTTGCTGGCGACAGAGTCGGCGCAAACTGGCGAGAAGGTCGCAGCCGAAGAGGCCCAGTCGTCCTCCTCATGGGTAGGTGGACAGACCGCAGGCCCACTGCCGACGTCGTAGTTGAGGGGATGGGAAGACAGCCTGCTGATCGACGCTTTGCAGGTTTCAACCTCACGATTGGGCGGACCTGGCTTTGATCTATCCGTATGGTCGGTGGAGCGCATGGACCTACAAATGGACACTTTGCCCCTCTTTCGTGAAAAAGAATCGCTCTCGTTTGATCAGGGGCAGATCTATCGTGCACATTGCTACTCGGTGTCCATTCGCCACCAATGGGCAGACGCCTGAGACTGTCACTCATGAGCAGATAAGGACCGTGAGGAAACTATCTGAATGCCATTGATTGATCCGCTGCGTCGATAACTGCGGTTGTTGTTGGGTGAAGCGAGCCTATGTTGAGGAGGGTTTTTTGTTTCTCAGATATATGGGATTGGTGGACTCGCCGGCGCTGGCGCATTGTTCTATGCCGCGAAGGAGGCTGGCTACCTTGAGGGCGTTCTCGGTGTACCCCCTGCGGTGCGTGTGCTTCTCTCTGTGGTGACGCTGCAGCTTGCTTTTTCTGGCCAGCCTGGTGGCCATGGCAACGCTCCAGGCACATCCACGCCCTGAAAGCGCCCTCAAGCGGATCGACTGGCAGAAATATCCACCTTCCAAAGTCCTACATGGTAAACATTGTATTCATGAGTTGCTTGCAGGGCTTATGGGTGATTGCTGCTGTGCATGGCAGTGAAAGAGGCCACCATACGACTTAATGTTGTGTTGGTAACCTTGCCCAATCAAAGTGGGTGAGAGGTTCGTTTTGAGCTGCTCATGAATGTCCCCTTGAAATGATAGTTGTAGTAGGGAAATTTGGTCCTTCAGCATGAGTACAAATGTCACTCATTGTGATCCTGTTCCAAGCATCTGCCAATGACAATTTCGTTGGTGTGTTGTTGGGTAGTCACCAGCACAGCTGGACTATGATGCAGTGCGCAAGTCCATTGCAGACATTCTAGAAAAGGAAGATTACGACGATGGTTCCTATGGGCCTATCTTGGTTCGCCTGGCATGGCATGCATCTGGAACATATGACACAATCTCTGGAACGGGTGGCTCTGGAGGTGCCACCATGAGGTGAATGTCAATCAATGCAGTGAAGTGCTCTGTGTCGTATATATTGCCCCTCTGATTATGCAAGTGTGGTGCAACTTTGTTGCCCTTTTGGATTGCCTTTGATTGCTTGCAAACTGACTATACCTCACCTTGGACCAATACATGCTCCTGTTTCAATATTCTTCCACAATTGGCATTCGCCTATGCTCAACAGCAGAATTACATTGTATCACATGGTGGAGTGAAACTGCTTGGCTTCCTGTTGCCTTTAATGCCAATCTACTGTGTGAAATGTTTTGTGGATGCTGATAGTGTACATGTGTATCTAGCGCAGTTGTTGCAGGAGGTTCAAGATGTTGTGCCATGTTTGTGTCCTGTAGGACACTTATCACGTCCTATCCTGTCAATGATCTCACAACATGAATACAACAGTCCTGTACTATTTGAAAGATTCATACTGTGCTGCATAGTGTTGCCTTACTTGTCAATGGGTGGTTGTGAATCAGATGCATTGCTGAACATGTGCTCTGAACATTCCTTGCATGGCAGGTTTGCACCAGAGAGCGACCACGGGGCTAATGCTGGTTTGGGTATTGCTCGAGATTTGCTTGAGCCAATCAAGAAGAAGTTCCCATCCATCAGCTATGGAGATCTGTGGACACTGGCAGGCGTTGTGGCTATTGAGGAGATGGGAGGTAGATCGTTGACAATGCACACAAATGGTTTGAATTTTGGACCACTGTCTACAGTGGGTACTTCTTCTGATGTTGCATTATGCGCACTGAACATTCTTCAATTGCGAGCTTCTACTAAACACTCAGAACAGCCCATCCTTCAATAGAATGTTGTTATGAATCTTTTGCGAGGTTTGATCAACTGCATTGCTGCTCCTTTGGGTACATCATTGGTGCGCCAGCACTTGTGTGCGTGCTGAAATGTCCATGAACTGATTTGTTGATTTGAAAGTCTGCCCCTAAATACTGTGGCTCTTGTCTGCCCAGTGCTGTTGTGAATGTTGCCACCAGAGATGGCATTGGTGTTGGTATTGCAACGTGTCAATGGTACCAGAGATTGGTGCACAGTTTGCAGCAAACTCTGGTGCCATTGAGTAGCATTTGCAGGCAACCCAATGATTACTGGATGTGCATATGGTCCGACAAAACGTTGCTACTGGCATTGCAATGCTGCTGAGCGTGGGTAGTTAATGTAGAACTCTCAGAATCGTGGTGTGCTGCACACTGTACTGCAGGCCCCAAGATTCCATGGCGGCCGGGTAGAAGCGATGCACCAGATGCAAGCGCATGCACCCCAGATGGTATTGCCTTCACCTGGACCAAATGGATCCCTTTGCAACTGTTTCGATGTCCTGAAGTCCTTTGTGCTGTGTGAGCATGGCAGTGCAGTGTACTGATGATATCAGGGCATTCCTAGGTGTTCTGTTGGCACCTTGGCGTGTTCCTCAGTTTTGAAGTTCGTTATCATATTTCCATTGCCTTTCTGTTTTAGGACGCCTTCCCGATGGAGACAAGGGAGCAGCACATATAAGGGACATATTCTACAGGATGGGCTTCAACGATCAGGAGATAGTGGCCCTGATAGGGGCGCACACTCTGGGCAGGTGCCATGCAGATCGCTCTGGCTGGGTCAATCCCTGGACGAGAGCACCCACCACATTCTCCAACCTGTACTTCCAAGATCTGAAAACTACCAAGTGGTGAGTACTGCCGATGTACTGTCGAAGTGTTGAAACTTTGGCTACGAGAATCGCATGTTTTGATAAGGCATGTGCACTTCCTGCTTTTGACCAATCTCCCTTACAAAGGGAACTACTCTACAGCAGGAAATGTACCTGAAATGCTCTGGTGATGGCCACACCAGGCAATGAATTGGCGAAGCTGTTCTGAGGTGCCATGTGTTTTGCTTCTTTGTAAAGTCGTCGAAGGTGTGGGACATTGTTGGTGGTCAAGCGCTGTTTCACAGTTTTGAGCAGTTCACAACAACGAAATGTTGGTGAAGTTTCTTCTGGACGTATGATAAGAAGGTACAAGGATGCCTGTAGCCAGTTCAGACATGTCGACAGTGGAGCTGGTGATTGCAACCTTCCTGTCAGAGTGAATACGCAATGCCAGTTCTGACATTGTAACATGTACATTGTAACACCACCCACTTTTGTCCATCCAAGAGGAAGCCTGGCCGTGGTATATTTCCTGCAGTATGGGGTGTAGAAAAGATGTTCGAGAATGTCCTGTGTGCTGTGAGGCTGAATCATACTATCGACACTGCAAAAGGTTGATTGAGAAATCGGTGAACATCTGGTGGTCTATTTTCCCTTGTACACAGAGTTGGTGGCTGACCTGGTGTTGATTTGCATGGAGGTTCTTGCCTCCTTGGAAGGACTCTTGTGGAGCCGACTTAGACTCCGAGTCTCGTAAACCACAAGGGGTTTTGAGTATTGGCGTGGGAATGCAGGAGAAAGAAGAAGAATTTTACGCCCCTTCAGTACGAAGACCCGACTGGGGAGCTGATGATGTTGCCAGCAGATATGGTAAATGTTGCCCAGCCTAATGTGACTATGCAGGACTCCTGGATGCATTGTTTCTTTGCGTTTCTTACTAAGAAACCGTCTCCATACTAAGAAATTCTTGGTGGCCTAATGTTTTGGTCAATCAGCCGACGATTGATGCTACGTTGTGCCGAAATGGGCAACTTGTAGGTGGATATGCCACACAGCGTTTTTTGGTGATGTCTTTACTTTGTCTGCGTCGGTGTGAATGGAGACAGCAAGCTGGAGATTGCCTCCCCCCCCCCGCGACTCGTTCTGAGTGTTCTGTGTGGCACAGGCACTTCTGTGGGACAGGAAATTCAGGAAGTATGTGGACATTTATGCCGCCGATGAGGCCAAGTTTTTTGAGGTCAGTGAGCTTTCTATAACTTCCGTTGTGGCAAGACGCTACAGAAGCTGCAAGCGCAACACTGCGTGCTGTGGTCTGTGCCATGGTCTGTCCTCGGGTCTGGTCACCTTTCTCTGAGCAAAGGCTTGCAAGTATCCACACAGGAGAAAACCTGTCTTGTTCAGGCCCAAATGAACTCGTGTGAAGGCGTTGATGTGGCTGATAGTCCTCTCTGCATATGCTGCGCTATCTGTGTGCTGTCACGTAGGCCATGCAACTCGAACTGAGTGTTGGATGGCACCTGGTACAGCACAACAAGCACTGCATTGTCACCCATGAGTTGTTGCCACTGTCCTCAGGGTTGCTTGCTCGCTGTGTTGTGGGTGTAGCAGCTTCTATACTAAGTTCTTGCGTGAGGCTATTACGACTGTCTCTCAAGAACATGCCTTCAGTGTCCTGACGACCCGCCATTGATGCGTGCAGGACTTTGCGGCTGCCTTCAGCAGACTGCTGGAGCTGGGCGTCAAGTTCCCGGAAAGCAAGGCATCGGCAACAGCCTAGCAAGTGAAGCGTACGTCATTCTCACTGTCTTAGCGTCCGTTCCGGATTTCGGGACAATGTAGTTCTATCCACGTGCGTCAGGAGTTTGGTCCACTTGCTGTAGTTTCTCCTGTATGATAATTGGGGACGGATCTAAAGAATGCTTGCTGAAGACCTGTGCAGTGGTTGATAGGCAGCATGTAGTGGTGAGGCCAGAAATCATGCAGACTGTAGGGCTTGTACTCTAACCAGCCCAGGGTTCGCTGCTTCACAATATGCTGGCTGCAGCGGCGATCCAATGGGAGAATATGATGTGTACTTGTAGTGATTCCGATGGTGATGTTCTTACTCGTTGAATTTTCTTCACTGGCTGCTTCGTTGTTGTTCCAGCGCGGACGCTCAAGGGCTGAAGCAGAACGTATTGCAAAATAGATTCAAGCATGACGCAGTGACTAGCAAAACGGCGTCTTAGGACCAGCACACTGGGAGGCCTGGCAAGACATAGAACGCCTGAGAATCGAGGGGGGCACGCCCACGGCATCTCTGCCAATTCGAAATATGCGACACGCACCAAGTCAATATCGACCACATAGTATTCGCAGTTGCATCTCACGGATTTGGGGGCTGCTGCTGTAGGCTGAAGGCCCACGGAACCTGTGGTGAGGATCGTGCTCACCTTTTGCAGGTTGAGGCGCACGTCTTCACCTTGTGCTCTTCTCAGCCATTGGTATGGCTCTGCCATGCCAGCGCCTGATGTTGCCCACTGGCGTTGCTGTCGTGTCTCTTATCTTTCCTGGTGGTTGTCGGATCAATGTCACAGAAGTGTCAACAGCGATCTGCAGATCCACAAAATCACCAGTCGCAGAAGTGTGCGCATGTTGAGCTGCATCACGTTGGGGTGGTTTACAAGCGTGTGGTGGCCAATTTGTTTGAAGTCGCCTTCGAAGCACAAAGCGGCCCTTGCACCTTGCAAGGACCGCTTTGTTGGCGCCCTTTGTCTCATGCACGGCATTGGAACACATGACGGCCTCCTCGAGACCGTGGTGGGGAAAACACTTTGTCACTGGCAAAGCAGGGTCAGCAGATTTACAGTGCCTGATGCGACAAATTGAACGTCAGCCAGTCTGACAATACAACATACACCTGAATCAATGGTGCCAATGCCATCCCCCACACCCATCATATCAGGACACGAACATACAGTTCCGGAAACTGGCCTCTCAACTCGTTCGTGCCATTCGGGGATTCCCAAACATGGAAGTTGACTCTCACTCCACCAGCCACTACTGAATCCATGCAGTCCTCGCAGCAATGCGACTCAGAGCCCTTAATGAGCGCACTCAACATGTAGAATTTTCCAGGCAGGAGCCTTGCCGGCCCATCAAAAAACATCTTAAGCAGAGGACCGTCGGCCTTTGTGAACGACTGTGCCACGTCAGTAATATTAGTGACTTCTGCGCTGAAGTCGTCTTGAGCGACCTCCAGGAGCTCCAGCTCAACTGTGAAGCCCCCTTCTGTGCCGCACAACCCTGCTCCTAGCAGCTGGCACTCCTTGTCGACTGAGAACACGATCTCGTCCTGCCCATCTTCGTACAGCCAACTGTCCACAGTGTTGAGCTGAGAAGTGCGCACTACGCGAGTCATGGAATACGGGTATCTGCGCAACAGCACTCAGCTGTCAATGCAGGCAATGTTGCACAGCACCTCAGTGCAAGCTGTCAGTGCAGGGGCCACCAAGGGTTAAGTCCTGCGCCATGGCACCATCAACCAGCGACTGAAGCCCCACAGTTCCACCGTAGGCCCACTGTTGTCTTGGCCCCTGTCGCCGTTTTGGTGTCAACCAATAACACAGCTGTTGAGGAATAACATCATCCATGGGACAGAGGGTGTCGTGTTAATTTCTTTGAATGATAGTAAGCACTAGAATCAGCACTGACATCCAGCACATTGACCACAAGGGGCAAATTGTGCTGAGATGGGCAGGAACGCAGGCAATATGGACCTACTTCTCAATCTTCTCAACTAAGCCGCAAAGGCCATAGTACTCTGCCTCCGACTTCAGCTCCAGAAGATACTTGAAGTCGGCGTTCTCCATCGGGCAGCTGAATGACCCATCACGTAAATAGTTCAAAATGTCATGAAAATGCCTGCCATCCCGGTCAATGAAAAAGCACCCATTCTTGTCTGGCTTCAGAGAATGCCGTCCGCTGAACATCGCATTGAACAGAGATGGCGATGGAGCGTTGCGAAGGGTGGTTACTGTCGTCGTAAATTCGTGGCCACCAACATTCAGTCTCACTTGTTCAGACTCATTCATGACCTCTTGGATTCGCTTTGACTCCTCTTCAAAGCGCTGTTGGTCTTGTTCAAGCTCCTTTCTCGCCTTGTTGATATCTTCTACCTCCTGCTCCAGTGCAGCCCTCAGGTCCTCCATTCGTGAGTCCAAATCACGCATGCCCTGCTTCACCCTGTCCATTGATTCGTCTACTCTGCTACATGTATTTGCGCAACTCATTCTACACAATCCTGCTGCCTTATTTCCAAATGCAACTCCGACGACTCAATTGCCTTGGGGACAGTTTCCATCCCACACCCCGCGGGGTTGGGCGGGCCTTCTGTGCGCTTTTTGCTCTTGAGGGACCCCTGTGCAAGCAAGCAAAGTTAGAGACCTTTGTCAGTGGAGCCCTCCAACTTGCGCGTTTTGGCACACCACCTGCCGCTAACTTGTGGACGTCGAGGCCGGGACCTAAGTCGACCAGGGGCAGCGGCCGGCTTCCAACGTTGTCAATTCGTGCAAGAGCGTCACGTGGCGATAAAATCTGCGCAACGTCTGTAGCAATTTCGGATTCCATTCAGTCCATGTGTTGGTCACTATCGCGACGGCAGCCAGGCGCAGTCAGAACCACGACAGCGGAGCCCTCCGATCTAGACAGTGTCAGCGGCGGTCCGAAGGGCAACAAACCCACCGAGGCGCCCAAGAATGTTCTCTCTCCGCTCAGTCGCAAGACACGCAGCGCGTCTCAAGCTACTCATACGTCCAACATCACTCCTGCAGCCGGAGGTGCAGTGGCACATTTGCGCCCCGCTCCCTGACCTCATCAAGGGGAGCAGGAGTCAAGACGAGGGGCACAATAGGGGTGGAAATTCGAGACGCGACGCTGCAGCACCATCAAGGGCAGAGGGTGCGACCGTCAGAAACTTCTGCAGGTTGGCGCCCGTTGGGCCCGTGAGACTGGGGCCAAGGTGTACTTGCCTGAGTGCACTGGTGGGGCAAATTTTCAACCCGCCCGCAGGCAGGAAGTGGCAAGCTGGGGGCTCAACTGGCCGGGTGGCAATGCTGCGAGGCGCCACCGCCTTCGCTGATCTGGACCAACGCAGGGGCGGCTGGTCGTGGATCGCCTCTCGTTGTGCCTCTGCCCCAGGTGCGCTGCCCAAGCCCAGCCCAGCTGGAGGATGGTACGATGTGCCAGCGCATTCACTGCTACGCTACTGCCTCATTATGCCCCCCTCGGTTCCGTAGGGGTTCATTTCGTTTCGAACAACGACCAGCATCTGCTGCCGACTTTGCAATGTGGTCGACTGGCTTCAAGCACACCATGGCCGATCGTCTCACTGTGCGGGATGGCCCAATTGAACCACCACAGCAGCCGTAGAAAAGGGGTCTTCAAACGTATTCCAGGAGTTCAGAATAGAGTGTACATGTGGATACATGCGCAAAGCGTCAAAAACCCAAATCTTCCATAAGAAATGATGCATCGACTGCAAAATGAGAAGTTTAGGTGGCATGCACCTAAGTCTTTATGGTGTTTCAGATCGGTCGCGATCAGTGTTCCTGGCATCCGGGACTCAGCAGCTCGCAGATGCATGGACAGTCCGCAAGTTAACAGATGGACTTGGCGACATCCTTCCACGTCCGCAGTTAAGCTTACTCGCGGATGATAATTCACGGGTGGACCATCCGTCCGCAGAGTACGGCGATGCGAACGGACAAATTAACGGACGAATATTTCAGCTGTTTCGATCATTTTGGATTACTCGAGGGGGAGCAATGCGTTGTAGAGATTTGACGGTGGCGTGGTCCTACTAGGAAACTCTCCCAAAATAAAGTTCCTGTGCCGTCATACCAAGCGCCCGTAAACTACAGTATTACAGTGTGTATTGCCGAATGTGGTTCCCAGACCAGCAAAAAGCCGTGAAAAGGTGACAAGTGGTCCAAGATGATGGTGCGTGGCACAGTCCCACACAAGTCCAAGTGTGCTTGGCCCAGGACCTCGCCTGTCCGTCCTTGCACCACGGCCCCATCGCCCTCCGCTCGCGCGGGCTCCTGTCTCTGTATCCGTGTGGAACTGGCATCTTGGTTGAGAAGGCACCGCCAGCTGTGGTGAGCTTGTACGATCCGCGTGCGCGCTCCGCAGGAAGGGCTTGGTTTTCAGTTGGGGATGTGCGCCATGCCCGTCGATGGGTGTTCCTGGGTGGCTGCCACATCCTGCCGGATAAGCACACTTTGGGGCGATAGTGCACTGAGCGCATCGGGCGCAATGAAAGCCTGGTAGACGAGGAATTTGCGGTTGATTTGCCGCGTTGGAAGTATACTTGACTGCGTACCCTTGAAGGCGCTGCATGCTCTAGGTCATTCCATGTAGTGCGTCTTATCACGCGACTTCCCGCGTCTTGTGTGGTTGCAGGTTTGCAATCTGCAAACAGGAATTGTGGGCACTAGTTGGGGTGCGAATTGGCGAGCGAATGCGGCTCACTCCAAGGCAAGTGCAACAGGTAAGGGAACCACTGGCCGAGGCTCGGCTGCGGTAGAAGCAAACAGCCTGTTGTGAAAAGTCTGGATGTGTCGAGACATGGAAGAACGGAGGCAGGGCGATGTTGACGGCGAGCTTGCTGCCCGCTTTTCTGCTTCGCAACAGGCAGTGCTTCCTCCGGTGATGCGCGGACCTGTCCTGAGACACACGACCGCCGGGTAGCACTGCGGGATGCAGGTGCACGCGCCAGGCTCACCAGCGCGCCTTCGATGCCCGGCAACCCTGCAGCGAAAATGCCTGCACATGTCCAGTCACCCCTGCATGCCGAAGCTGCCACTTCGAATTTCTCCAGTTCCTTTGCGGTGCAGACTCCGAAAGTTGGTGGCTGTCCATGGCTCGCGGGGGAGGTTGGATGCACCAGAAAGGTCTTCCGTCGATGTTGGAGAGTCACTGGAGGGCGATGTGGATGGTCCCGAACCGCCAGAAAGTGGGAATTCTGCCAATGGAGCTAATGGAACCTGGGCATATGACGATGATGCATATACTGCCCCAGACAAGATTGACGCCAATCCTGCAGAGGGTCTACTGGCCTTGTTGGGTGAAAAGTTGTCCTCATTTGAGCTTCCATTCAACTATTTCATTCCGTTTCTCATCATGGGGTTGGTCGCATCAGTCATTGGTGTCGCCCAGTCGTTTGTGGCCAACCCCACATTGGATGCATTCTCTCCAGACCAGCTGCTGCACTTTCAACTTCCAGTTCAAACAGCAGTGTTCCTAGCTGTCTTTCTACAGGCAGTGGCTGGCTGGGGCTTTGCCCTTGGGGCAATTACAGGGGTGGCGCTGTTGGGCCCAGGGCTCACAGTGAAGGATGCCCAGGCCTTTGTTGCGGTCATCGCTGTTGCTGTGGATGGTGGCATGTTTCTGCCTTACTTGCAGACCAAATCTCTGGACAGAAAGGTTGTGGACCCTTGGGTGGTGGGGGCCACTCTTGGAACACCTCTTGGAGTCCTGGCCTTGCGGTATGTGGATGAACAGGAGGCGCTGTTTGCTCTGGGATTGACCACTCTTGCCTATTGCACATATTCAGCATACAACATCATCGAGTGCTACTACAGTGCTGGAATGGGGAGGAACAATAATAAAGAGGCAACGAACCCTGATGCTTGCAAGCTGCCGCCAGATAGATACCCTGCGCTTGGAACTTGGTTGTCTGGGGCTTTTGCGGGTGTCCTGGGAGGGGCGTTTGATGCTCCAGGGCCACCTCTGGTTGTTTTTGCAGACTTGACGGGGATGGCAAACGTGCCAGATCTCATGAAGGCAAACCTACTTGCGTTCTTTGCTCTGGATTCACAGCTGGTTGCGGTATCTGATCTTTTGGACGACCGCTTCATGGAACCGTTTATATGGCCATCGGCACTCCTTGCCATGCCAACAGCAATAGTTGCCAATGCCATTGGCAAGCTGTGTTCTAAACATATTGATCAAGAGAAATTTAGATGGGTTGTGCTGGCCCTCCTTGCGGGCTGTGGACTGCATCAGATGAGGATTATTTAACAGCATTGCGGTTAAGCATTCTTGATTTGTCATTTGGAGAGAGGCTTTCTGGGCTGTGGAGCAGAACCCGCACAACACCACTGAATTGATTGTTGCCAGGGGTAGACTCCATTTTTGGGGAGAGCGCATATTTTTGATGGTACCTCCCAACTTTGTTGTGTAAATGGATTGCAAAATCAACCAATGTTACTTGGTTCCTCCTCCATGTACCTCAAACTTGACACCTTGTTGTGTGAAAGAATGGTGGCGACATCTTGCCTAACATCCACAATATCGTTGGATGAACAGTGGCCACGTCAGGTACGACTGTTATGGTCTAAGACAACACTGCTGAAGCTGCACACTCATGAGCTGGCTGTGTGGTGGGTGCTCATTGGCTCATTCTGGGCAGTCCTTTCATTCACAAATGTTAGTTGTCTGAATTAGCTGTCATGAATGTGCGCCGCCACTGAAATAGTTTGCCTTCTGTTGTAATGTGGAATCCATCGCCATGGCACATGTGCCATGATATGAAGTTAATTGTGTTTTGGGTGTGGACTTGCGCATTACGCAAATGTGCAAGCCCAGTTTGGAGCTTTGAGGCGACGGCACACAAGAACTCGCCCGACGAGATTTCCCATGTGCCGTGGTCAATATCCTTGGTGGCTTTGTGCTGTGGTCGGTGGGACTCTGCGCAGCCGAAGATACCCACGCAGCGTCACTTGCACCGCAGGAAGTCCATTGTTGATGAAAAAACAAGAACCTAAACCAGGAAGCCAGTGCAATCACGTTCTGCAACGACTGCGACTGGGACCCCATTCACTTGTCCTAGAGGCGTTTTGATCCTGGACGTTCGATACTTCTGGAGTGGAGTTTTGTCTGCACACGCACAAGTTTGCACTTGTTGGGGTCGCCATTTAATGGGGCTCATCAAAAAAGTTAGTAAAGTAATGATATCATGCAGCGGGCGACCTGTGAGGTCCAGATATGGTGCAGAGGGGATGTCGACAACCTCAATACCTTCGCCATACCGAAAATCATCCAGTAGGTTGGCGCTCAATGAGGCAGAAATGCCAAAACATCAATCAAGGGTGCTCTATAACTTTCTTGCAATCCAAGCCCAAGGCACTCAGAATGCAGGGAGATGACTTTAATGACAAAGACAGATGATGGCAACTGCATCATATGCACAAAGAGTTCACTAAGATACTATAAAAGTGTGGAGCACAACGTCAATACGTGGCAGCGCATCACACGGAGACACATGCATGAGTCAAACATGACCCGAATACGCCTGGGAGTACTGAGGAACACCCAGGTTGCCACTGGACACGTGCGTTTGTTCAGGGGCAGCCCGCCTAGCGGCCAGCCATGGATCGTGGCGAGATGGATCCAGGAGTGGCGCGTCGAGGCGCCACATGGTTGTTTGATGGGAATATGTCCAGTGGGGCATAACGTGGTTGCTGACCATGGGAAGTGTGGTTGCTTGGTGGGAATGTGGCCCTTGGGGCACATGTGGTGCCTGTTTGTGGGCAGTGAGGCGTCGTGCCACTGGGTTAAGTTGTGGTGAAGCAGCGGGTGTGGCAGAAAGATTCCGGGTATCAGAAGAGCATCTCCTAGGAATGGGGGTATTTGCCAGGGGGGCGCGGACAGTGCGAGGGGGAACTCTCTATTGTTGCACTCGGGGGCTATTCTCGTGGGGTTTGTGTCTCTCTCTCGCGGTAGTCTAGCCACTCAGCCTGGCTGCCTGACTCCCCTGGCCATGATTCGGCCGGTACTTAGGCCAAATATGCCAACAAACTGCCATGAACACCCGTTTCAACTACCTTGCTACATGTCCGGGGTGCCCGCCAAGGGAGGCTATTCTCGTGGGGTTTGTGTGTCTCTCTCGCGGCAGTCTAGGCATTCAGCCTGGCTGCCTGTGTTGTGTAAACTACTAGGGGGTAGCCGGTTTACTCAACTTAGATACTGGGAAGTGATAATGGACTCGAGATTGTACCTAAATGGGACAGAGGAGGCTATTAGCTTTCCATAGGTCTTTGAATCATCCCAAACGGGTTAGCGGTAGTGGAGTTATGGCTTATAGAAGTTTCAGTACTTAAGGTTGGGCCCCTACCGTACTCGGGGATGAGATACTATTGATACAGGTACATTCGATACACTGTTCTGTCGATTGTGTACCGCTGCATGTGGGGGTCATGTGACCGACCCCGCATATCAGCCTGTAATTCCATTGTGCCCACTCTCGCCTCCCAGCGGCTGCACCCGCAGGCCGCAAGGCGCCGCGCGCACCCACTGCGCGTACGGCCGCCCCGCGCCCGGCCATTCTGCAGGCCTGGGCCCACACTGCGCATCCGAAGACACGAGCGCCCCGCAAGGCCCACCGGCCATCCGGCAGAGGGGGCCCCGCGGCCCCATCGGGCGCCTCGGCGGGCGCATCGCCCGCGAACACACCGAAAACCACGCCAGGTGGTTTCGGAGCCGGCGGACGCGGACGGCGGAAGCACGCCACGCGGCGCGAGAGCAAGAGGGGGGAGCCCCACCCGCGAGGGGGCCCCCCATTCGATCGGATCTTGGGGACATCGGTCGGCCAGGCGACGGCACCCGTGAGGGGTGCGGCCTGAATCGGCCCGGATCGGAGACCAGACCGCGCGCCCGGCCCCGTGGGGGGAGGCGCATGCTGTTGCATTGAGAAAGGAACCAGCGGGGGTGGGAGAATCTCCCCGCGGATTCCGCCGCGGGCGGGTCGATTGGAGCGGCGCATCGCCGCGGAATCACGCACCGAGACCGGCGGTGGGAAGGCGCGGATCGGGAGCGCCAAGGCCAGGCGCGGGCCGGCGCAATCGGCCGCGTGGGCCGTCGGGTCGGGCGGCGAGGAGTGCCAGGATCCCGGAGGGGGGTGAGGCGCAGCGGCGGAGCGGACTGACCGCCCGTCCCGCGACCCCGGCTGCGCAGTGGCTGACTGGACTGCGTGTCGGGCGTGATGTGACAGCAGAAGCGGTGGGAAGCGACCCCGGTGTTACGTGAGGGGGTCTGTTGCGTGTCGGACGAGTCAGGTCGCCGGGTGGGTGCCGAATAGCGCCCATGGCCAGTACGGGCGCCCGGGGGGGTGCCGAATAGCGACCCCTGGGGGGTGCTGGCTGCCGGGGGTGTGGAATAGCGACCCCTGGAGGGGCCTGGCGGCAGGGGGTGTGCAGTAGCGACCCCTGCACAGTACTGTTAAGTACTGGGACCCAAGTGGAGCTGGAAAGGCGACTTCTAAGAGCCTCTAAGGAAGCTTCTGACTACCATAAGATGTGGCCTGACTATCTAGCAGCTGCATTGGAGCAGCTGAGGAGGTATTCTTGACCTCCTTAGCGGGTGGAGAGCAGTGCCATAGGAGCAGCTTCCTTGGAGTAGCTGAGAGGGTCCCTTATCCTTCTC